TACAAAAAATAAATCTAAATTTGTAGAAATCTTGTTTGTTAAAATTTACACGGCATCTTTTGTTCTTTGATGTTACAGTTTAACTTCCCTTTGGAATACATGCATGCGAAGCGAAAACAGATTCTTCTTCAGGATGTTGTAGATCATGGCACTCCACAATTTCCCATCATTTGTAGCTATTAATAATTTTTGTCTTTTTGTTATGTCTCCTAAAACTTGTTCCGCCATCCATTTAATCAAACTCGTTAAGTAGGTTAAGCGTTGCTTTCCTCTGTCACTCTTGCCGTCAAACTGTCCTGCGAGTATCAAATTTTCCAAGCCCCCTTTCCTCACTATGTGTTCTGGAAATTTCAACTGTCTCTCCCTGATGTTAAGTATAAGTGGCCTTTTACGTTGCTCTCATATCCGCTACATGCCGCTCTCATCATCCTCCTGCAGAACCAGATTCATTTTGTCCCTTCTCCATCTATGAGGAGATTGTCCAGCATTTACTTCCATATAAGAGGACTGATATTACATAAAAGTTCATCACTCATTTGTTTTTAACGAAGTTTCATGCTTCTTAATACTTTGCTTAGCTTTTGGATAGCATATTTCCCTATTCCAATACGCCTTCGAATTTAAGTGCCGCACTTTCTAAAGTTAAAACTGTTCCCACATATTTAAACTGTTGTACTCGTTTGACTTTGGTATTCCCAATTTGTAATTGGCATGTTGGCCTGTCCCTTTTGCTAACCACTTTGTATTCACACATATCCTAGAGGCGGATATGCAATGTGGTTGGCCCTGCTCTGGCGTCTCGTCTACAGTCACTTTCTCACAGACGCGCCGTCGCCTCCTTCTGTCTGTTCTACAAATACTTTCATGGAAATTGCTCCGAGGAGCTGCATTCGCTGGTTCCCAGACGTCATGAGTTCCCAGACGTCATGAGTTCCAGCGCCCTACGAGGCTGGCATCCCGCTCTCACCCCTTCACTGTCGAAACTCCTAAATGTAGCCGTCTCTTCTACTTTAATGTCTCGCACCTCTCACCTGTGGAACTCCCTTCCCTTCTCCTGTTTCCCTGTGAGCTATAATCTCCAGCTATTCAAGTGTAATGTCAATCGACATCTCCAGTTGCCTTGATCTATCCACTACCCTCATCCTTTCTTCTATCACTCCTATCTGATCTCGCTCTATATTTTCTGTAACCCCTTGCGTCCTAGTGGCTTCCCGCCTTGCTTTGGGTGAAATGCTTAAAAAAAAAAGCTGTTAACAGCAGCCTTATTATTTTCCACACTGTTTATTTTTAGCTTTGGCTGGATCACACAGGGATGAGCGTATAAGTATGTAGTCAATGAAAGATTACAATTTTAACCTTGAAAGTTTTTTGTTTTGTTTTTATCTAAACGCATATACACATACACCACCCCCACACGCAACTAGTGCTGTATTTGAACAGCAGGGTCTCTTTAATATGTGTTTCTTTGGAACTAACCCACAAGATACTACTGTTAAGTTTTATTTATTGTCTTTTCATTGCATAGAAACAAGAGATTTCTTTTTCAAACTTAGTGTGTAGAAATCATTCAAATGTTTATTCGTTCTGATCGCTTTGGGCTAATCTATTATACAGTTCCAAGGAGTTTGATTGAATTCTTTCAAATGGCGTGCAACTTTGTGACACAACATACTAACTGAAGGCACAAATATAATAATCTTTAAATATATGGAGACAGCGGATGTCTGTGTGTCTGCTGTCTGTCAGTCGGTCTGGGTGATACCTTTACACTCGAGATCCATCCAACCGATTTTGACTAAACTTGGCACATACATTGTACAATGTTAGAGATGGGTTCTTAGCGTAAAAAAATCGATAATTTTTAAAATATCAATTATCGATAAAGCCGATCAAAAATCAATATATTCAATTTTTTTCCTCTGATTTCGTTCAAACTCAGTATGTAGGTGACTTACATTATGACGAGCTCAACGATACCTCATTTCTATTTCTACGCCACTTCGTTTTGCGAAAAACCCCAAATCGATTTCAACACAGTTCAATTTCAACACAAATTTTAAAGTAAAATCTCCCTCCATTTTCAAGTAATGTAATACAAACTTCACTCAAATTGTAGCCAATAATAAGTTGATTGTTTAACAGTCATTTAACTTGAAAATTGAGTCCACCTATATAGCAAAAACCCGCGTAAATAGCAAAAAATGGCGATTTTTACTGTTTTCTTTCTTGTCTTTCGTTGATCTTTCAATCAATTTTCATCAAACTTAACAATTGTTTTATAAATGTTTCCTCTTTTAGATCCCTGGTAGTACTCTGACAAATTGAATTTCAAAAACTCTAAAATAATTGTGGTCTGAAGTGGGTTTTCATGTTGCCTGTTTTACCTCTTCATGTCCTCGGCTAAATTCAATTGAATAAACAGAAACTACTTTTGTTATATCAGTAACTTCATTAATTCAAAATGTTTTTAATGAAAGTAATTTAAAGTAATTGAAGAAGACAAACTTTATTACATCTAAACATGATGTTGTTTTTGCTCCATTCTAATTGAATGTTTTCTTTCTGATCGACCAGCTTGGTATGGCTGCTAATAATAATAATAATAATAATAATAATAATAATGATAATAATACACACAGACAGAACAATCAAAGCTAATCGCCATGATATCGGGATTAGAGACTGCAAGGACAAAATACGCCTCCTTATTTACATGGCAATCCCAGCAGACTGCAATGTATCATTGAATATCCTCAAAAATCTATCTTGTATTTACATGACCTTGAAATCGTGATCTCAAAAATGTGGCGCATGAAGACATTAACAATTCCAGTTGTAGTTGGAGCCCTCGGATTGATTGGAAAAGATTTCAGTAGACTAATTGAAAGGATTCCGGGTAGCCCATGCCTCAAAGAAAAACAAAAAAATTGTACTCACAAGTACGGCCCACACCTTAAGAAAGGCTTTGTCTATGTAAAATATGTGCGATTTTTTTCAAATTAGCTCAGTGGAAAATGTTATGATGACATAACTGGACTTAGGTCTGTGGTTGGGACCCGAAAAGAAATGAGTGCACACCAGAAACCTAAGGAAATAATAATAATAATAATAATAATAATAATAATAATAATAATCCACTGACATCACAATCAAGGCCAATTGCTCAGATATTGTTATTAAAGACCACAAACAAAAAAAGTGCCTCCTTATTGATATGACAGTCCCTGCTGACTGCAATGTATCTTTGAAGATATTCAAAAAGCTGTCAAAATACAAAGACCTTGAAATAGAAATCTCGAAAATGTGGCATATGGGAACATCAATAATCCCTGTTGTAGTTGGAGCCCTAGGATTGGTTGGAAAAGGTTCCAGTAGACTAATTGAAGGGATTCCTGAAAGTCCATGTCTCAAGAGATACACAAAATTGTTCTGACAAGTACAGCCCACACTTTACGAAGGGCTTTATCTATGTAATATTTTTTTTGTTTTTTTTTAGTCAGTGTAAAGTGTCATGATGCCATTTCTTGGCGGGACCGGAAAGATATGTGTACACACCAGAAATCAAAGGAAATAAAAACAATAATAATAATAATAATAATAATAATAATAATAATAATAGAAATAAATATCCAGAAAAAAAATGACCATCTTAATTAGGTTGCACGGAGTTAGCACAGACTGAATATAAAACACAACATGATAGATTGGGCCAATATCTGCACAGGAAAATATTCAACTTTTACGGTTTACGGGAAGGAAACTGCAAGAAACTGATATGAACATTACCCAGATCGGGTTATAGAGATAGGACCTGTAACAATTTTATGGGAATTCAAAATACACACAGACAGAACAATCGAAGCTAATCTCCCAGAGATTAGGATCAAACACAACAAATAGAGAATGTGCTTTCTTATTGACATGACAGTTTCTGCAGATTGTAATGTATCTTTGAAGATCATGAAAAAACTATCAAAATACATGGATCTTGAAGAGAACATATAAGACATGTGGCACATGAGGATATCAATAATTCCAGTTGTCTCTTGATCCATCGGATTGGTTGGAAAATGTTCCAACTTATTGAAGGGATTCCTTATAGCCCATGCTTTAAAGAAATACAAAAGATTGGATTCACAAGTACAGCCCACACCTTACGAAGGGATTTATCTATGTAAAATGTGTGTGACAAAATGAAGTGGAAATTGTTTAAACTAAAGTCTTGTTGGCACCGAGAAGGTAAAATGTGAAATCACGGAAATGATCTTTTTCGTTTACAAAAAAATGATCAAAGACCTGGAAATTGAAATAGAAAAATGTGGAAATTGAAAACAAGAATAATACCATGTATCTATTTCTAAACATAAAATTGTCTTATTGGCACACTAAGGAGAACTTTGTAATGTAACGCAGCAACAACGGAGATAAAAAAAAAAAAAAAATTAACATGAAAAATAATAATAATAATACGACCTGCCTTTTAATAATAGTAGTAGTAGTAGTAAGTAAGTAAAGTAGGGTTACAGTAAGACATCATCCATAGAAAAATCAGCACACCAACATTCAAGGGGAACGCAGCCATAGTTTATTGGCCATAATAGAGTTAAAATTTCATTAACTCTTCGCATTTTGCAATAGCAAAACGAAAATGCCAGATAGGCTGGCTGAAAAGTAAATTTTTACACACACTAAATCAGAAAAAAATATCTTTTTTCGCACAAAAGAAAAATAACAGCAAAACTGAACTGGAGTACATTGGCAGTTTTTCTGAATGAAACATCTGTTAGAGAGGGATTCCTACCCAAATACAAAATTATTAAAATCCACTAATCTATCTATTCAGATAACATAATAACAATAAAAAATCCTGAACAAGGAAAGAAAAAAAGTAAAGTCCAAATGGCAAACAATTAGCTGCTCATTAAATTAAAGTGTACATCAACTAGACGAGTAGAGAGATAAAAAAAAATGCTTCATAACGTCAACAACACTAAAGGAAGGACAACTCGACAGCTCGTGTCGTTACATGTCCAAATAACTATCTATCTATCGATGTAACTCTATCTATCTATCTATCTATCTATCTATCTATCTATCTATCTATCTATCTATCTATCTATCTATCTATCTAATTCTATTCATTTTCTATCAATCGATCTGTCTATCATAGTTTATGTCTACCTACCTACCTATCTATCTCTGTCTCTGTCTGTCTGTCTGTCTCTCTCTCTCTCTCTCTCTCTCTCTCTCTATATATATATATATATATATATATATCAGTTTCATTGAAGACGACTGACAAGGTACTGCGATTGAGATTTTCATTTAATTTTTCAAGTGTTCTTATAAGATTTTTCATTCCTTGCTCGTAAATTATGCATTGTCTAAATGTTCTATATATCCGAACGTTTCGGCTATTCAACGGTTTCCGTGTGTATTTAAATGAGTCCTAATTGCGCTAAGGCCAGAGTGGTGTAACGTGAGTTTTATTGATAGACATGTAGTAGTATATTCAATATAATTATTTCTAAAGTTGGGTTTATCAGAATCAATTCTTTGATGGATATGTGAATTCATATAAAGTATTATATTATAAATAATACATATATTTATATTATAAATAATAAATAATATAACCTCATTTACATGTATGAAGCAAAGAGACTGTCTTGTCATTAAAAATGGATGGCAGCATTGATGAACACATTAAAATGAAAGTGTAAAACTGGATACAAATAAGGTATTATGCTATCTATTATGGATCTTGTCTACTACAGTCTGTTTCTATCTATCTATCTATCTATCTATCTATCTATCACAGTCTGTTTATTCCTATTATACATTTACCTATCAACTCATCACAATCTATCTACTCTCTCTCTCTCTCTCTCTCTCTCTCTCTCTATATATATATATATATATATATATATATATATATATATATGCATACATCCCGCACAAATATCGATTTCCAATGCAACCAAAGATGTTTATTATTAGAAAAAAATTGCCATCCAGTCGAAACAGTCAATTGTTTTTAAAATATCTATCTATCTATCTATCTATCTATCTATCTATCTATCTATCTATCTATCTATCTATCTATCACAGTCTGTTTATTCCTAACTATACATTTATCTATCAAATCATCACAATCTATCTATCTATCTATCTATCTATCTATCTATCTATCTATCTCCACCCTCTCTCTCCCTCCCTCTCTCTCTCTCTCTTTATGCATACATGACGCACAAATTTCGATTTCCAATGCAACCAAAGATGTTTATTATTAGAAAAAAATTGCCATCCAGTCGAAACAGTCGATTGTTTTTAAACTATCTATCTATCTATCTATCTATCTATCTATCTATCTATCTATCTATCTGGCTCCTTGTTAGCTTATCACGTGGTATATAAAAATTACAATCGCTTCATGTTTTAACCTCTGACCCAACACCGTCTTCTACCAACCGCCATTCCATCCCCGACAAAAAAAGTCGAGTATGTCTGGCTTCTCATTGTCATCGTTAATTTGCGATAAATAAATAAAAGGAGAAGTAGACAATCTCAAAAATCGGAATGGAAGAAATCTGAATCTTTTGTCCTTCCATCTTTGTAGCGACTTCGTTTCTTGCAACTCCGTTCCTTCATTTTATAAGTGTGGAAACGCATCCGAGCCAGGCTGTGAGCAAAAAACAAAACAACAAAAAAGAATAGCAAATTGGTCAGATCATAGATCGCCTACGGTCATCAGAGGAAGTTAATACCACACACACCCTTAGACACACCCTTGCACACACACACAGACAGACACACTGACAGACACACACACACGAAAAAAGAAAGAACAAAAAGAATACCCTCCCCAAATTTTGATCGCGGCGTGTTTTCATCGTGACGTCATCCCTCAAAGCTGGCTTTAATCAGGCCCAATTCTACGCCATTTTCGACAGGGGTAGGAAGAGAAACAACAAGAACAGATCGAGGGAGACATTAGGAAGTGAGATGGGCGGAGTTACTCTGAGGCAACAAAAGATTGTAGAAACTAAACAACTTTAAAACTTTATAGAATCTCTCTCTCTCTCTCTCTCTACATACATATATATATATACATACGTACGTATATATATATATATATATATATATATATATATATATATATATATATACATACATACGTACGTACGTACGTACGTCTGTGTTTGTGTATCTATTGTAGATTGGCAGCAATCTTTCTATTATGCATGTTTCCTTAAATATGACAGACATGTATTATTATGTACATTTTTTAAAATTTCATTTTTGTGTCTTTACAATTGCCCTGTTTTTAAAGGACTAAATATGATGGAGAAATTGTCCATACTGTTTATCTTCTCGATTACTTTCGACTAATACTTTTATTTTCTAAGGGAATAATTTTAGTGTAACAAGTATTACGAATTTTGTTTTGTTTTCAATACTCAGTTTTTTGGTTTGGTTTGTTTTACGGTATATCAACCTCAATGGGTCATTTAATGCCGACAACTTTTTTTTTTTCTTGGTAATGTTTTTGTTTTGTCAAAAATCTATATCAGTTAATATTTTTCCTCGTAAACGTATAGCTGGTAATATTATTTTTCCTTAAAAACATAGAGCTGGTAAAATTATTTTTTTCAAAAACGTACAGCTAGTAATATTATTTTTTCAAAAACGTATTGCTGGCAATAGATTTTTTTCTTCAAAAACGTATTGCTGGTAATGTTTTATAATGCTTTTTATCACAGTTTCGGGGTTAACTATTTGAACTATTTGCCCATATCTGGGACACTAACAGGTGCTACCACTCCAGCAATTAAGAGTTGGTTCCACGCTCATCAAAGCCTCCTGATCAGAGGCCTTGCTGTTGGACGTAGTTTATCGTCTTACCCAGGACGCGGATGTATGATACTCAGTTGTGTGAGTGCCATTTATTTTTGTCGTAGTAATTCCATTTTTTAGCGTAGATTTAATCTGTTTCTGAACATAGCCAAGATGTTTCGGCCACGTTCAAACAAAGCGCTATTAGAGGAAGTTCATTTGTTTTTACGGTGAATGCTTCTAATATCTCCAAACATTTTTTACAACTAGATGTTTTCTGTGCTCTCTCCGAGGGAGACTTATGGACGAAGAGAGTTAGGGGTGTATATTTAGGTGTTTTCTTATCGCACTGAGATCATCGGTGACTAGAAAAAGTCTCTCCACACACTCAGCCATCTTAAATGTAAACTCTGAGAACACACACACACACACGCGCGCACGAACGCACACAAACTCAAATGGAAGTTTTCTCTAAAATTCTCAATATTTATAGAGGAAAATTACACAATATCGTTTTTGTTTATATTTCTGAGATGAGGTATTATGTACATTATTGACATTATTCGGACTATTGTCCTCATCTTTGTCGCCATATTTATTACAACGTTTCTTTAGGTGGTTGGAATGTCGAACTGAACCATGGAACTAGAACAGTTTACCCCAGTGAGCGAAATAAAGGGTTCAGTTCGACATTCCAGCCACCTGAAGAAGGTCGGAGCGTACAACGGCCGAAACGTTGTAATAAATATGTCGACAAAGAATAGTAGTCCGAATAATGTAAATAATATAATACCATTTTTGTTTGACATTCAGATATGTTGACACCCACTTGACATGACAGAGTCCACGTATCCAAGGGCCCACGAATTGCAAACGAAACATAATTCTTGGCTACCTCTAGTAACTCTATCCGTCATTCACCAGCCAAACTTAGGTCGTTGCACATGATGAACCATTTCTGGAGTTGATACCATTGAAGACATCCCCACGTGTGCCAAATGATGGGACACAGAACCTCGATGCTGGAAGTTGACACGCCATTTCTTCATCCTTTATTAAGGCGAGAACTCGTCACCCAATGCTTTGCATTTTGCACTCACGGATTTCTTTCGAAAGTAACTACTGCAGAAACCAGACCTTGATGAAGACCTGGAGTCGGAAACTTGAAGATTTCACTCGTCCCGGCGCCGAGTGTGGCGTATATATCTCCACCCCCTCGTTCTCTCAATCACTCGCTTTCTACACACACACACACACACGCACACGCACACACACACACACACACACACATACACAAACACATACACAGACACATACACAGACACATACACACACACGCATATATATGTGAATTTAACAAACTCGGCCACGAAGAGTTTCGTTGATTAAGCAAATTTTTATACTGCCTATTCAAAGCACATAGCATCTAACGACTGTTAGATGCTACAAAAAGTAGGTGGTATGTCTGCGCAGATTCAAATTCTGCCAGAGGGTGCATTTATCTTTAAGATTTCTAGAGTGTTCATACTGCCAGACGAAAATAAAATAGTGTTTAAAAAATAAAACGTAGCGTCTAATCAATCAAATATGGGTATCCACTAAAATAAATTTTAAATGAATAAAAATCCATTGCTTCTTTATATATATATATATATATATATATATAATATAATATAATATAATATAAAAGGCTCAAACACTAATGTTCCATGGTTATAATTTATTAAATTGGAATCGTAATCACGATCCAATACACCAGGCCTACAAGTTCGAAAAGATTTGAATGCAATAACCTGCCTCGTGGAAAGGTTTCCAGCAATGTTTGTCGAACCATCCACCTTCGGGCAGAGAGGAACCCAGTCGATGCTATGCGCCACATCCTGCCTCGCGGGAAGGGGAGGAAAATATCCTTGCTTCGTCAATTATTTGGAGATACGTCTCCAGCTGTATGGTCGAACTATCTGCCTTTAGGCAGAGAGGAAACCAGACGAGGCTACGGCGAAGGGCAGAGTCTCGTCTAGAATCGTAAACAGCTACCCAATAATTCTCATATACTTGTATTTTGATTGGTCATTCCAGCTTATGTAACATCGTTTCCACTAGCGAGGAGTGTTTGATAGATTTGAACCTTTCAAAACCCTTTATTATTTATTCAACACCATTACTTGATAAGACACCAGAAGTGTTGAAACAAAATGGCTATTTTTGTAGTGATTTTATTATAAATTTATGTTATATTTTTCGAATAAATAATCATTTGCTCTACACTGTATTGAGCACTCTTTTAAGAATAGTATTTGTTGGTTATTGGAATTTATTCATTCCGTATACAAAAAAATCCTATAGTTGGGTATATATATATATATATATATATATATATATATATATATATATATATATATATATATATATAATTTTCCTGGATCATATTTAAGATTATCCTTACTCTCTAACCGTGTGACTTTCTGTCTTGGAGTAACATTTTTTCGTACGATTTCATTTTCAAGTACTTTTTCACTGTTCTTTTGATTGTCATGGGTGAAACTCCTCTCTCACGTGCCAACCGTCATATGGATTGAGTTGCATCTTTTCTAATTGATCTGTTTAGCTCAGTTGAAACGACGATCCAGATTTCTGTAGTGACCTCCTCATCCAGTTTTCCTCTCTGCTGTTCCATCTTTTATAAAGTTATTCACCGTTCTCTTGATAGTTTTTGAATGGGCCTTTAAGTTGGAAGTCCGAGCATGAAAGTTGTTATCATTTCTGAAGGCCTGAATGATCTTTTTCCTCTCACCATTGCTCATTTGGCAAGACAGTGAGGCTGACACAAAACGATTTTAACCTGTTCTATTTCTAACTGTATAATTGAAAGGGGTTTTCAGAGATTCTTACGACAAATGGCATCAAGATGGCTAAACGTCTTATCTGAAAACCTGGAAATAAGAAACTGAATTAGTTTAGTGTTTATTTTTAGATATTAAACATTTGCAGGGGGTAGACTGTTATGTTGTATCACGATTTGAACAATATTGCTTTTACACCCGGTATATATATATATATATATATATATATATATATATATATATATATATATATATGTTTATCACCTAGTAACGTAAGAGCAAAACGAAATAGATTTTCGTTTCGCTGGGTAAGTTTCAATGAAAAATATTATCAAAAACAGAAAATAAATTTTAGAGGAAAATCGTTCTGAGCAATTACTTTCTCAAAACCCAAATATTTTCTCCCATGAGAAGAAAAAGATTTTTTAAGTTAAAATTATCCCCTGGGTCGAATTTCTTAGCAAATTTGAGAGTTCAACAAAAAAGGTTTTAGCTATGTGTAGTGAATAAATAATCGCTATTCACGGACGCACACGCGAGCGCACACACAAGCACACGTATGTACATATGCATGACGAGACCACAGAAAGAAAGAAAGAAAGAAAGAAAGAAATGTGAAAAGAGATATAAATGAATTCTAATTTGTCTTTTTTTTTGTTTACTTTCTCCTTTCATACATACATTTTATTTTTTATTTTTTATTCTTTCTGACTCTTTCGTTCTCCTGTAGTTTATTTATTTTCTATTTTTTGTTTTCGTTTTTCATACACTCTCTTTCTTTCTTTCTTTCTGTTTTTTTTTTCTTACATCTATTTCTTTTTTTTCTTTCTTTGATTTTAAATTTGTCTCTTTATTTCTTTCGTTCTTTTCTGTTTATGTATTTTTCTTCCGTTCATTTTTGTTTCTACTTCACATTTTCTCTCTTCGTTTCTTCTTCCATGCATATCTTTCTTTCTTTCTCTCATTATTTCTTTCATTCATTCTTTCTTTCATCTTACATCCATCGCTTTCTTTCTTTCTTTCTTTTTTCTTTCTTTCTTTCTTTCTTTCTTTTTTTTCTTTCTTTCTTTCTTTCTTTCTTTCTTTCATCCATATCTTTTACTTTCTTTCTTTCTTTCTTTCTTTCTTTCTTTCTTTCTTTTCTTTTTACATGCATGCCTTTTTTTCTTTTTTTATCCATCTCTTCCTTCCTTTCTTTTTCTCATTTTTTCTTTCATTCATTCATTCTTCTTACAACCATCTCTTCCTTTCTTTCTTTCTTTTTTCTTTCTTTCTTTCTTTCTTTCTTTTTTCTTTCTTTCTTTTTTTCTTACATACATACCTTTATTTCTTTTTTCATCCATCTCTTTCTTTCTTTCTTTCTTTCTTTCATTCATTCTTTTTACACCTATCTCTTTCTTTTCTTTCTTTCTTTCTTTCTTTCTTTCTTTCTTTCTTTCTTTCTATATACATACCTTCATTTATTTCTTTTTTATCTATCTCTCATTCTTTCTTTCATTCTTTCTTCTTACATAATCTCTTTCTTTCTTTCTTTCTTTCTTTCTTTTCTTCTTACATGCATACCTTTATTTCTTCTTTTATCCATCCCTTTCTCTCTTTCTTTCTTTCTTTCTTTCTTTCTTTCTTTCTTTCTTTCTTTCTTCTTACACCCATCTCTTTTCCTTTCTTTCTTTCTTTCTTTCTTTCTTTCTTTCTTTCTTTCTTTCTTTCTTCTTACACCCGTCTCTTCCTTTCTTTCTTCCTTCCTTCCTTTCTTTCTTTCTTTCTTTCTTTCTTTCTTTCTTTCTTTCTTTCTTTCTTTCTTTCTTTCTTTCTTTCTTCTTACACCCATCTCTTCCTTTTCTTTCTTTCTTTCTTTCTTTCTTTCTTTCTTTCTTTCTTTCTTTCTTTCTTTCTTCTTACCCGTCTCTTCCTTTCTTTCTTTCTTCCTTCCTTTCTTCCTTCCTTTTCTTTCTTTCTTTCTTTCTTTCTTTCTTTCTTTTCTTTCTTTCTTTTTTCTTCTTACACCCATCTCTTCCTTTCTTTCTTTCTTTCTTTCTTTCTTTCTTTCTTTTCTTTCTTTCTTTCTTTCTTTTCTTTTTACATATATACCTTTATTTATCTCTTTTTTTTATCCATCTCTTTCTTTCTTTCTTTCTCTCATTCTTACATTCATATCTTTTTACTTTCTTTCTTTCTTTCTTTTTTTCTTAATCAAACTGTTTCTTTCTTTATTTAGTTCTTCCCACACACATCCCATTTTTTCTTTCTTTCCTTTCTCACTGACCTTTTTCTTTTATTTTCCGCTTCCTTGCCACCCTTTTCCTTTGTTTCTTATCATTTCTTATCTCGCGTAAGATATCTGAAAAGTTATCTGCCTTGTTATCAAGGGTCAACTTCTTGTTCACTTCTCATTTTCCCTACCCTCCCGTATTTTCCGTTTCCCGTGTTTACTTTTCCTTTCCAATTCCCTCTCCCTATATATTTCCACTTTCTCTATATTTTCCGCGTTTCCATCAATTCCAAAGGGCATGGGGCTTTAAAGTTGCCTAATCTCTCTTTCTCACCCGACCCCGACTATGCTGTTTCCTTCTTTATTCTTCCCTCGCCTATCCAAACGATAAACCCGTGTCTCCTAATTTTACTTCTCGGATATTTTATGACGAGACTTCGTAAATTTGAACGTGAATTCAAAACGAGATAAAAACAAACAATACAAAACCGCAAGACTGCAGAGAAGTCAACAAAAGAACAATGAAACCAGTGACGTTACAAATTTTCCCCTTCCACTTGACAAAGAAGAAATAAATAGAAATCCGAATAAAAGCCAGTTCTTATATTACTCTTGATTTGACCTTTGTGACTTCTGACCGTGGCACACGCAAAGAGCGCCCTCTAGGGAGGATTTATGATAATTATGAACGCAAAGATAATAATTATAACAATAATGGCAAAATGAAGAAGAAGATGATGAAGTGGCACTCTATTGGGAAGATTTATGACATGACGATATTACGACTACTGCTACTAATAATGCTAATACTACAATAATAATAATTAGCGACACTAATAATAACTATTACTTCTGTTACTACTAATAACAAAAGCAAATACATGTCTGTTGTGATTAGGTTGTCAAAAATAAAATAAAGTGATCATTAAAAAATAAAATTTGCAGGAAAAGATCCAACCAAAGTGTACTATTTTTTTCCAAATATGATCACCCTGTACAAAGTCCAATAACCCCCCGGGGCTTAGTCTTATAGAATAACGCACAGTTTAATTTATTAGGATATATATTTTTTTTAATAAATTCACCCCAAGTAAGGGGATAATGCCACTAAGATGCAAAGGTTTTCTGAGAGTGGAACAGAATGAAACAGAATTTAGAAGTAACCGGAAACTCAATCCTAAACAGAAAAGCCGTTACTTTTAGATCTGCTGGAACTAAGGAATTCTAGCTGTCTGAAAACTATGCAAATAGAGATAGAGCAACGAGGAGGTGACGATGTTTCATCTATGGGGAAGGGGCTGTAGGGTGCGAAATAATTCATCACTCATAAGGACGCGGTGATTCTTTTGGGTTATATCGAGATTGGAAAGTAAAAACTGGGTAGTTCCTGTCCAGGTATTAGCAACAGTACTCCATTTTTGGCATGATTTAGCTCTTGTAGAAGATATCAGGAGGAGTCTGGTACTTACTGGAGCGGTACAGGAAACCGGACATTTTCCCAGCATCCTTAGCGATGGATCGTATGTACGAGCTTCACTTGAAGTATGAGTTTAGGTTAAGGCCCAATAGGCGCTCAAGGCATTCAAGGGAACATCCCTTCATTGGTGATAAATAGTTTAGGTTTCGATCTGCGATGATGGAATGTAACTAGTTTGGTTTTTGAAATGTAACCAGCCAGCTTTTTAGATTATTGTTCGGATTATTATCCACATCTTTATTGCAATATTCCCGACGTTTCGACTGCTGCACGCTCCGGACCTCTTCAGGATCTCTCTATATTTCTGAGAGGAGGTATTGTAACTAATTACACTACTTACAATGTTCGGATTATTGTCCTCATCTTTATTTCCATATTCACGTTTCGACCGTTGTACGCTCCGGACTTCTTCAGGATCTCTCTATATTTCTGAGATGAAGTATTGGAACTATTTACACTATTTACATTGTTCGGGTTATTGTCCTCATCTTTATTGCCATATTCACGACGTTTCGACTGTTGTACGGTCCGGCCTTTAATCAGATGATTTGAATTTCGAAATAGACGGGGTAAATTGTTCTAGTTCCACGTGCCGTGCCTTTTCCGAATGTCTCAGTTTAACTCAACACGCCAAGAGTGGAAAGTAAAGACTGGGGAGCTCCTGCCAATATATGGCAGCAGTACTCAATCTGATCTGGCTCTTGTAAATGAAGAGGATATCAGGAGGAGTCAGGTACTTATTGGTGCGGTACAGGGAAGCGGACATTTTCCCAGCATCCTTAGCGATGGATCGTATGTACGAGTTCCACTTAACGTCTGGGTTGAATTTAAGTCGTAATAGGCGTTCAAATCACGGGATATTCCAAAGAGTACACCCGTTCATAGCAATAAGCGAACAAATTCAGGGTTCGCAGGGGGTGAGGCAACATCACTAATAACAAAAACAAAAATTTTGTGACTACGTTAACTGTTAAAAATAAAATAAAGTGACCCATGTAAAATAAAAGTTACGAAAAAAGCTTCAATCAAAATGTACTTTGTTTAATTTTAATATCAGAAACGATAAAAGTATTCATAGAAACACCTCTTGCCCTAAACATTCTGCAAAAAGATGACAATTAAATATAATCAATGGTAGATATATCATTACGGTTATCTGCGTAGAAAATGGCAACTTATTAAATAGCAGACAGAAAGAAAACTTTATACCCAAATCTGGCTTGTTTCGGTGCTAGCATTCCACACTGTTAAACATACTTGCTAATGAAACCAGCCCCACAGCCAACACTGAATTCAAATCCGGCTAGGTTAGCGACTAGCAAATCCACTCCCTTCCATTTACGTGCTTCTCTGATAAGTACAAATCTTCAAAAAATTTAAATGCAACGTCAATAAACGCCTTATATTTTCTTGTACTTTCATGTTTTGTCCTTTCCTCAATCCTCCCCTACTCAGTCCTTTTTCTCTCCCTTTCACTGTCTGTATACTAGTGTAATTCCCGCCTTGCTTGGGATGAAATGCTTAAAAAAAAATAAAAAGAAAAAGAAATTATATTTAAAATGCTTAAATTAAACTAGGTATTTGATATCCAATCACAATATCCATTTTCGACAAGATATACTTCTTTGAAAGGGGTAACATTTTTACAAAGAATACTGAGCAATAATGGCGTTCAGATCTCATTTCCGGTGTGAAACATGGGGTGGTATGCAAAGTCTTCCGTACTGTCAAACCCACGTAGCGATTTGGAAAAAAGAAATCATCGTCATCAGTAGCAGCATCCTATGACTGGTCGTAGGGTCGCTTCGCAGCTAAAGAACTGACCAATTTCCTCTTTGTGTCTGTGTTGATCCATTCATGCGTGACGTATCTTGGGAAATCATACCTGGCGGTTCCCATCCCTCTACTGTTCAAATCACATCCGATCTCCTTCAAATTTAAGATTATTTTTAAGACATTTTTCATATATAAAAAGAATGTATAAACAAAAAAAATGTCTTAAAAATAATTGTCGGACTTTGTCCATTTATTAATGTATGACGTCATTTGTTTACATTTGGATACGCTTTGAGCAGAAATGAATGTACGTGAGAGATTCGTGGAAAATTTTAGTTTAAAAGCAGTAAAAATCGATCGATCCTCTGTGGCTCAATCGGTTAAAGCACGTCAGGAGGATACAGTTTCGATTCCTGTCGGAGGACGAATATTTTCTATGAAAATTTCTCGGATATTCACGCCGGTAAATGTTGTTTAATACTGTTTATTATAAATAGAGCATTTACTTAAGTATTTGTGTCTATAAAAAGTATGTATAAACAGACTTTGTCCATTTCCTTATATATATATATATATATATATATATATATATATATATATATATATATGAAGAAATATAGTTTTAATGTGTGCTATTTTTACGGGATAAAGTGCTCAATAGAGAGAGAGAGAGAGAGAGAGACGTATGTAAATATAAATATAAAAGAGAACATTGAAGTCAAAACTCAGAGGGGACAGGCTGCTTCATGCTGGACGCAATCGTCAGGCCGACGAATTCGTCTAGCATGAAACAGCCTGTCGCCTATGAGTGTTGATTATATATATATATATATATATATATATATATATATATATATATATATATATATGGAGGTCGGTGCGCATGTACGTATGTGTGTATCTGCATATGGTAGCAAAATTTGTCTCATCATTAGAAAAATATATTACATTAGAGAAACATTTCAGAGGGGAAAAGTTTAATTGTCGTGTATATTTTCACACAGAGACACACGCGATCATGCACGCGTGTGTCTGTGTATCTGTGTCCAATGTGGATTTTTTTTATCTATTAGAATTAGTACTTATTTTTAAAAATAAAATACTTATTGTTAATAATTATAATACAAAATAGAGAGAAATAAATAAGAATTTCAATAATAATAATAATAATAATAATAATAATAATAATAATAATAATAACAATGGTAATAAATATTACTCCGGGCTTAATAATAATCATAATATTAACAATAGTGTTGATGAGGAGGACATTTTAATTAAATCACTGTCAATATCTGACAGTCAGCTCCCGCTCCAATGACCGAAAATGAAGACAGGGTGGAGGAGGTAGGGAAATGTGGTGGTAACGGGGTGTTTGCCAGTCATTTGGGGGGCAAAGTGTGCAGTGTAGAGTGTGATGTTGTGATACTGTCGCTTGCTTCAGAGGCTGGTCGAAATATTAAGGTTACGGCAAAGGTCAAGCATCACTGAGGCAGAGCAAGGCTTACCCAATGATTTGTTCCTAATTGGTTTGTCCTCAGAGCAACTTTGGATAGTGTCCAGGGATATACAATCAGGCCGAAAGCACTGAAGGGGTGGGAATGAGAAATCTGATTCACACGTATGCACTTGTGAATACAAAGACAATAAACGCGGGATTTTGAGACAGTCTACGAGCTGGCACGTCCTTTTTATTGAGTTATTGCATGAGGTTCTAGCATTTCTTTGGCAAATTGTTTTATTCATATAAATT